AATCTTGTAATGATTATAACAACCATGCAGTTGGCAAATGGCTGATAACGGATTTCTGACAGTTAGTTGTCACTAGACTTCTGTCTCATGTTGGATGAGCCACCTGGGGCTTTGGCCCTGAATAACTTGAAACAGGTCCCCCCTCAGGGGTCATCATGCAAGCCTTAAAACATCATGTGGGGGGAGGCTAATTTTCCAGAGGGAGAAACTGGGGCACAGAAAGAATGAGTGACTTTTTTAAGGTTACACAAAAAGTGAACTCAGGGTCTCCTGGCTTATAAATTGGTTTTTTCATCACAAAAATCCCTATTCTCCCTCACTCCAATAGTCCTTCATCTGTTCAATGAAGACTGCTGGTGTGTTAAGGGGCAAACCTTCCAGTCTTTATTAGGATACTCCAGGATTGATATTCCTGAAGTATACCACAAAGAAATTAAGAGCTGAATTCATAATAAATAGTCATAGAGAAATGCATAGGACAGGCAAGGAAAACAATAAATAGCACAACAATCCTGGAAAGAGTTACAGAGAAACAGAAAAGACGGTTGTAACTTACGGGAGCAGAGCTGTTTTTCACTGTGACACTGGGGGTTGTAGCCCGTAGTGCCCCACTCACCCCATGGTAGTATTTGAAGCAGATCTTTGTTTCAGCTAAAAGACAGAATTATTTTGGATTAGAAATACTACCAGGAAGACATTTCATAATCTGTTGCACTTGGGACACATAATGTCCACTCAGGAAGATAGGCGAGTTGATTTTTGGAAGTAGAGTAATTTCTTCTCCTGCAACACTTGAGCCCCATATTTCCCATGGAGAGGGAAGTGTAGTGATTTGGTCCTTCTGACATACAAGAGATTAATCCTCCCTTTTCAGAGCACCAGCTACCAATTTTGCAAAACTATGTGCAGGCTTTAGACAGTGGGATAAAATTCCCTCAGCTACATTAGACCCATAGTTATCAACCTGTGGTCCACAAACTCCTGGGGGTCCACAGACTATGTCTAAGGGGTTTGTGAAAGATGACTATGATGAATCAAAAGTATGTTAATACCCACCCTTACAATTCAAAGAGGTCTGCAATTCCATTCCAAAGGAGTCGAAATTTCCAAAGGAGTCTGGACCTCCATTCAAAATTTTTTAGGGGTCCACAAATGAAAAAAAGGTTGAAAACCACTGCATTAGACAGAATAATAATAGGGCCATAAAACCATAATGATCTGGGGACTAAGTCAGCTATTATTTAGTTTGGTCAGGAAGAAATTTCTCTCATGAGCAGATTATTTCATAATGGCCTGGTAAGAGATTTCTTTGAAGTACCTGGATCTAGTCATTGTCAGAAGCAGGGAATGGTACAGGGAGGACCACAGTTCTGGTATTGTAATTCCAGGCATTTTACAGAAACAGTGTTAAGCCCTAGCTCTTTTTGGTCTATGCCAGTGGTGCTTAACCTTTTGGCCCCATGGGCCAGATGAGTGGTGCGGAGCCAGTCTGCAGGCCGAATCAAGCCCTGCACACCAGGATTAGGCCCTGGGGCCCAGCACCACCCCCTCCCTGTCCCGCAAACCAGGATTGGGCCCTGGGGGCCCAGCACTGCCTCTCCCACCCCTACATGCTGGGATTGTACCCCAAAGACCTGGCACCATCCCCTTTTGTTCCCCCAAGCTGGGATGGGACTCAGTGCTGCCTCCCCTGTTGTGTCCCCCCCCCCCGTCTGGATATTTGACAGCAGGGAAGTGGTACCACTGTTCCCCCATTGCCAGATTTCCAGACCCATGGGGGACCCCATGGCCCGGATGACATAGCGGCAGGTCAGATCAGGCTCACAGGCAGGGGCTGAGCACCCCGGTCTATTTCCTTTGACCTCATGGAGCTAAGGGTCAGTTTCTTGTTAGCAGCAGCAGCAAGGTGAGGATATTAGGTTTAGCGTTGGTTCCTCCCCCAACGCCGTTTTATTGTGACTCAAGCAAATATACTAATTTAAAAAATACATTTTCGCTACTGACTTAAGAGATGGAAGAAAATGAATCAGCTTCTTGTTTAGTGGTTCCTATAGGTTTCATTCTGTGATTCTGTATGGTTGTGTCCAACTCATCCAGCCCTACAGATTGGCTTCTGCTGACCACAGCATTAATTGCTATGACTGTCAGAACTCCGGCAGCTGCTGCTCCTCCCACTGACAAACTTCCTCCCCTGTGGGCAGCCATACAGGCCAAATGATGTGGTTCTGCATCTGAATCTGACTGGCAGGGTGCCTTGTGGGTCCAATAATGTGGTAGTGGCACAAGCTGCGGCAATTAATCCCACAACAAATGAATGCTGCCACCATTCACCACACAGTCGAACTTCCAGACCCAGCAGGCTGAATGACAGGCTCTGTGGGTGGGATCTGTTAGCCTTGTCTCTCCTGATTTATTACAAAGAGGAAAAGTACAGTTCAAAGGAAATAGTCCAGCTTCCTGAACTGATCCGGAACAGAGAGGACAGTGGATTTTCATGACTTTCTATTACACTACAGGGAGATACCAAATGTTTTCAATGGACTGAAGAATACCACAGAGATCCTCTGAACTCCAGCAACCCCCTATTATAGGAGAACATGCTACAGAATCAGTTTTGCCTATCCTTTCTCTTCACAGTCAATCCATAACTCTACTGCAGACTGTCAACACTGGGTGCTCCAAAATAATGGTAATGGGGACCATATAAATGCAGAATTTGTTACAACTTCAGAAATAGGTACCAAATTAGGAACCACATTAACCTACTGAGTCAAACCCATCCCCTTCTCTGAAAAAGCTGACCATCAGGTACAGTGCTTAGAGCCATGAGCAGCCCTTTTGAAGTCAACAGAACTACTCCTATTAGTGCAACTTCTGCAAGCAAGTACTTTGGACCTTTAGGCTGCAAGCTTTTTGACAAATGGACCTTTTATTTCCATGTATTCTGTAAAGTAGTTAACATGATGTGAAAAACATTCTATCATCACAGATCCAAGGCTCTTTCTGGAGGTGGCAAGAGCTGTGCAGGCTGGAAGCAGAACCTTTATAGTTTTGTTTAAAGTGCAGTGATTTTAAAAGATCCCACGTCCACTTTCAAAGCATTATAATTTCTCATCTGAACAAACCAGTCTTCTGTTTGGCAGCCAAGGAAGCAAATTCTTTAGAAAGATCCCCCTGCCACAAAAATCATTTAACTGCTTATGTGTATTCTGGCACACAGAAACGTAGGGCAAAATGGAATTCCAGTTCTGCACCAGACACCAACACTTCCTCGTTTAACTGTTATGCCACTTGTGACTGCTATCATCAGTGAGGCACAATGGGATACAGCAGTGATGTGCACTACAAACATCATCCCTATATAAATAATGAATAGAGGAATACTGTTGCTGTAATGTCACAGAGCATATTCAGTATAGTAAAGAAACCAAAAGCAATACAGTTGTGGCAAAACAACACGAGGACAAACCACGGATACTGTGTCAACAGATCATCATATTGAGATGTGGCAGTTGGCGTCTCTGAACAGCAGCCCTTGTACTACAAGAAGGACATGAAAAGTCTGGGACACAAAAAGCAGAGATATTTTTTAATATTTAGGCCTAAATAACTTGCCCCATCTCACTCAATGACTGCAGAGCAGACTGGACAAAAAACCTACAAAAAATCCTCTGAAAGCCTAACTGAATCATAAGTTTAAAAATCCTGTGCTCCGGAGTGATTTAGGTGCTTAAGAGCGTAAGGCTAAGTACAGATAGTCAAAAAGCCTGAGGTGGAATCGATTCAATCTTTGCACGTTTCTCTAAGCTGCATAGATTGGACTGAACTCATGTTCTCTCTTCAGTTGGGGAAGGCAGGCAGATGCCTGCAATGGCCCAGGCCAGAAGGCATGGGGGTGTGTGTGTGTGTGTGTGTGTGTGTGTGTGTGTGTGTGGCGGGGGTGCTTCTCATAGATTTCATAGACATTAGGGCTGGAAGGGACCTTGAAGAACGTCAAGTCCAGCCCCCTGCCCCAGGGGCAGGAAGTCAGCTAGGGTCAAAGGATTCCAGCAAGATAAGCATCCAAATGTTTCTTGAATGAGTCCAGAGTAGGTGCCTACACCACTTCTGGAGGGAGTCTATTCCAGGTCTTGGGGGCTCAGACAGTAAAGAACTTTTTCCTTATGTCCAGCCTAAAACGGTCTTGGAGGAGTTTATGACTGTTGGTCCTTGTTATCCCTTGGGGTGCTCTGGTGAACAGGCGTTCCCCCAGATCCTGATGTACACCCCTTACATACTTATAGGCAGCCACCAGGTCACCCCCTGCACAGCTCAGAATCCAGATGAGTGGGCGCCATCCCTGATTGGCTGCCCGGCACCCCCTACCCCACTTTGCTGCACCCATGTGGTAGGGGGCGCGACTGAGCCCCCTGACCTGGTCCTGACCCCCCAAGCTGGGGTCTGCCTACATGGGAGGGGGGCTGCACTGTGGAGGGTTTCCTGAGCCTGAGCCCCAGGCTCTCCCCAAATTGGGGAGCCTCCCAGCCTCACCCAAGGGGATGGGAGCCCCAAAATATGAGAGCTTTCCCCAGCTCATCTGCACAGCCCCATCCCCTGCAAGTCACTGCCTCTGACTTATGGGAGGGGTGAAGAAGCACCCCCCAAACCTATCCTCCCAAGCTGGGGTCTGGTCTGCCCAGCTGGGGGGAAGTCCTGTGCCATGGGGGAGTTCCCCACCTCCCTGGCCAGGCCAGCTGCTTAGCCCTGCCCTCTGTGAGTCACTGCCTCAGACCTGAAGGAGGGGGGAAAGGAGCCCCCTTTCCCAGTCCTGGCCTCCCCATGCTGGATTCTGGCCATCTCTGGGGTAAGCCCCACACTGGGGAGGGGTCCCCCACCCCACCCTAGCTCCCCCTGAGCTGAAGTCTGCCCAGATGGGTTTCCCTCACCCCAGCCCAGCTGCTCAGAAGTTACAGAGCTGGGCCAGGATGGGGGAAACCCAGATGGGCAGACCCTAGCTCAGGGGACTCAGGGGCTCCTTCCCTACCCTCATGGGTCAGGGGCAGGGCTGCGCAGTCAGGCTGGGGCAGGGGAAACCCAGCTGGGCAGACCCCAGCTTGGAGAGAGCCTGGGGTGGGGTAAGAGAAACTTCCCACCTGGTAGGGCTCCCCCGAGATGGGCATACCACAGCTTGGGATGGCCAGTGCTTAGGCAGGGGAGCTCCATCCCCCCCACTCACCCATCTCATTGCCCCACCAGACTGACAGGGGCAGGCAGGACACAGGGCTGGGGAGCAGAGGCTTTGCTGCCTCCACTCTGTGACAGCCCAGAGGCTGGGCCAGCCCAGCTTTGCTGGAGCAGAGGAGCAGTGGCAGAGACTAGCCCACCCACCCACAAAAGAGGGTTAGCACGGACCGCAAAACATCCTGGGATGCCAGGGAACTGTGACTTAAGTTGAGTCGGGAGGGGATCTGGCACAGAAGTTTGATACACTGGTCTAACCTAAACTAATTAAATCTGATACTACATCCATCCAGGGCTATCTTAAATCAGGTTCCGCCATTTTGAAATTGGTCTATGTGCACTTCTGTTCTGTTACATATTTAGACTGATTTACGATAATGTATACTGGTTTATGTGTAATTTCTGCCCCTAGCCTAAGGGTACAGATATAC